ACATGTTGACTTTCATTTACTAGTGGTTAGGCAGTAGCATCTGACTTCAAAGTTACTGCTTGTTGAAAACTTAACTGGATAATGTTTCTGGGGTCTGGTCATAAAGAAGGGAGAGACGTTTTCTAGATCAATGGAGATCAAGAGGCTCTGACAGTTTGAATACACTATTTCCCTGAAAAGTGGCCTTGCAAATATCTCTTTTGAAGTTCACATAATCCTGTAGAAATAGCCATTGTCCTGAGTTGACCATTGAGTCAGAGGGCTTTTAATATGTTTGGAGAAAGTTAAGAGTCAAAGATGCCAGTGTACTGTAGGAAGTGCTTACAAGTAAACTATTTTGAGAGACTGAATACCTAGGCTTTAGACTGAAGGTGCAGAAGCTTACTGAAATACTACTTTTGCCTTGTAAGAAAAGTCCAAACCATCCAGGTTTCAATTTGAGTGGTTGGATCAAACAACTGAATTCCTACCCATGAGCAGGTTTTGGAATATTTGCCTACTCTCAAAAGAATGAAAACCTAACTTACAGTATCTCCAGCTAGAAAACCAATGCAGGATACTAAGAATGCTTGTTAAGCTTAAGCCTAAGGGAAGTCAGAGTTGGTGCCTGAGTCTCTTGTGTAAATATATCAACAAACACTAAAGACAGGTTTATGGTACTTGGAGCTAACAGTACTTAGCTGATAGCTCAGGCTTTTGATTGCAGCCAGTTTGAAGAGACAGTCCCACATTGTAGATTGTCTTTGGCATCAAAATGTGAATAAAACAGTTTTAAAACAGCAACAGATTTATGCCTCCATTCCCAAGCAACACGTGGCTGCCACTTGGAGACACAATAAGAAGAGGATACATAAACAAGGTTTACAAAGAAAAGGGTATACCTGATGACTTGAACTGATGCACCAGCAGGGAAAGTGTTCTACTGTGATTATACTAGGTACTAACTTGCGAGATGTCTTAACTGTAAATGTGGCTTCTGATAAAATGGCTATTTACAATTTATAGATAAGGTTGCAAACAATCTAATAAAGAAAACTAAAACAAGCACAATAGACAAATGTACACTGTCACTGCTTGTTTCTTGCATTTCTTTAGATCTTGGACATTTTGACCAAGGAATTTTTAATTTTGCTCACCAAAAGAGTTTTTCTGACATGGTGACCACCTGTGACTGCTTGATGGGCATACATACCTTGCTTTACCGTCTCGCCAAAAGTCAGAGAAGCACCAAATTGTCTTGGCAATATGTGGGAAAATAAGTGGTCCAGAAACATCCACCAAAACTTTCCTGATTTAGAAGGAAGAACATAAAGCAACATAAAGAAGAGCATAAACATGCATTTTATATTTCAGATGTACCCAACACCCCAGAGAGCCAAAATGGCTTAGTCCAACAATGGCTGAAAACTGACATGCCACAAGTACACTTGTCTGATCCCAGGAGGCAACACTGGCCCAAACCTAGTCCAAGTGTTCCTGTAGAGAGTTCATTTACAGTTTGGGACGATTTCGTCACAAGCCTGTACCCCCAAAATCTTGCCAAATCTGGCGCCAGTATTCACTATGTGTCTGAGTTGGCTGGTTGTCAAGTGAAGAAATCAGTCAAGTGTACCAGCAATCAGCACAACTCAAGTAGATACTTGGTAAGACATGCTGTTAGTCAAAAAATGTTATTGAAGATTGACATTGCAGGTCAACAACCAACTTCTATAATTCCCACATTGGGCAGACGTCAAGCTGACAGGATTAGTAGCTTTTAGAAATGCTGTGGCCCTATAGTGGTATAGTGTTTGAATTTACATCATGCTCAACTTCAAATGCACCACATCTATGTAAACAGAGTGTGTCCAGCGCTATGCCACTGTTATGGCAATGTCATTTTCATTTGTAAACACATTATTTGTACAACTGACTTTGACAATTTGACTAAATAAGGAGAACAAAGGTGATCAAAGAATAACAAAATGGTAGTACATAAAAAAGTGGGAAGACTACAATGTGCCTCCTCCAGTACAGATGGAGTTGCCTGCCACTTATCTAGAACTGACAGCATGAAGCTGCACATTTAACATCTACAGAGATTCCGCTATACATACACCCTTACCAAACAGTTGGAGTCAGTGAAGGATATGATTCCCTGCTAACTTCCCACTCTATTTTGTTTGGCCAAGCACCTGGCCAAATGCTGTCAGGACTAAAATGCTGCAGTGGCAGGTAAATGTTTTGTCTCTGTGTCACCTGGGTACCCCGCTATACTCATTTTGCTCACCAGAAGGGAGTTTTTCTGACATATTGACCACCTGTGACTACACAATGGACATACATACCTTGCTTGAGCGTCTTTCCAAAATTCAGAGAAGCACCAATTGTCTTGTCAATATGAGGGGGAAAAGGACTGGAGGCACCAGGAGAAGGAACCTTGGACAAGTGGTCCAGAAACATCCACCAAGACTTTCCTGAATTAGTTTGAGGCACTGCAATAGTCAAAACAAGGAGAACATAAACATGCATTTTATGTACCCAACAACCCAGACAGCCAAAATGGCTTGGTCCAACAATGGCTGAAAACTGACATGCCTGAATCATCACAAGTATACTTGTCTGATCCCGGGAGGCAACACTGGCCCAAACCCAGTCCAAGTGTTCCTGTGGAGAGTTCATTTACAGCCTAAATTGTCCCAAGCCTGCACCCCCAAAATCTTGCCAAATCTGGCACCATGTGTCTGAGTTGGCTGGTTGAGTTCAGGCACTGCAGAATTCAGTCAAGTGTACCAGCAATCAGCACAACTCAAGTAGATACTTGGCAAGACATGCTGTTAGTCCAGTAAGTGTGTCCAGCGCTATGCCACTGTTATGGCAATGTCATTTTTATTTGTAACCACATTATTTGTACGACTGACTTTGACTGAATTTTGACAAGGAGAACAAAGGTGACCAAAGAATAACAAAATGGTAGAACATAAATAAGTGGGAAGACTACAATGTGCCTCCTCCAATAAAGATGGAATTGCCTGCCACTCATCTATAACTAAGAGCGTGGAGCTGCACATTTAACATCTACAGAGATCCAGCTATACATGCACCCTTACCAAACAGTGACGGATATGATTCCTTGCTATAGCTTCCTACTCAATTGTGTTTGGCCAAGCACCTGGCCAAGTGCTGTCAGGAATAAAGTGCTGCAGTGGCAGGCAAATGTTTTGTCCCTGTGTCACCTGGGTACCCAATACTCTGACCACAAAATTGTCAACTGAAGTTACAACAACTTCCTTTTTCATGGCGAATCATCGATTTTGGATGCCGCGCCACGGACATGCTGTTCCATGAAAACTCACCGTTTTTACAACTTTTAATCGTCAGTGGGTTTACACTGCACAGAGAAACTTTGAAGTCAATCGGACTAATTCGCTAGGAGGAGTTTCTTAAAGTACGGAGTTTGTAAATTGCAAAAAATGACCATTAAATCTAAAATGGCCAACTTCCTGCTGGGTTTAGGCAATGGCTCCAAGAGGCTTTTTTGTACGTCTGGACATGATACACGTACAAAAATATCGTACAACGTGAAAAATCCAATTAAATTGGCTCCTGCTTTATCGTACAACGCACTTTGTTGAAGGTCATTTCCTGTTGACCTCACACGTTTCATGCTCGGGCCCTAATTATCTTAAAGTATACATTAGTTGTACACTGTTGATGCCACTATACAGGCCACTTTGGGGGCAGTGGAAACTAGCAATGAACACAAATAAAACACCATTTAATTTGTTTTTATTGCATATATACCTTGCACTATATGTCACCAATCCCTTACAAACATTTCCTGTGTTAGTAGAAAATGATCCTATGGTATTCATGTGGTATGACCTTACAGTACCACAGGTAAAGCAAATTCTGCGGTAATGTATCACAGAACCTGTGGTACTATACCATAGATATACCACACATTTACCACACAGTACATGTTCTATTGTAACCTACTATACCATACATTTACCACACAGTACAGGTCCTATGGTACTATACCAGCATCTGGCCCAACAATGATTAAAAAAAACATTATTTTGTAGGTATTCTTGATGGTATTTTAGAGTTTGACCGTTCCTGAAAAAACAATTTTAAAATTTTGATGACTCTTGGGGGCATGTATTACTTTAGCGTGGAATGAAAAGCTTTCTCAGTTTTATGACGCCAGAGTGTAGTGTTTCTGGGGGCCGACCACCGGACCTCAATGATTACTTTACACAAACAAAAACACATCTTTATTAACTGATTTTGGTGAAACTGGAGTATATTTGATGGAGAACAATATTTTTCGGTTCTTCCTCTGATGTCCCCTGGCTGCCCTGCCTCAACTATCTGTGATTTACAGAGTTTACTGATCAATAGATAGCTTTATTTGTTGCTAAAGTAACAGCTTTATTAGCTTTATTAGCAGTCATATTAGCTTACTCTGCCTGGACTGGGAGCTCGGAGCACTGGGGGAGTGTTAGTGTTTAACGTTCCACTTCTAATATTACTCAAGCAATGGAGGTTTTCTGGCCAGGGGGCTCTGTAAAGTCTATGGCCAGGGGTGGGGTACCCAGCAGGGAGTGAAAGTTAGCGGCTCTGGAATGGGCAGCGGTGGCGGGCAGGCGGGCAACGAATGTAGCCTCCCAGTAAACACAGCCTGAAGAGGACCAAACACATCTTCAAAGACCAACATAAAATACAGTACCGAGGTGATTTACAGAGCTTCAGGATGGACAGATAGCTTTAGTTTTTGCTAAACCATTAAATGCTGCTAACTATCTGTCTGCATCTGTAGCTAGTTAGCTTGGTTAACATTAGCCGGGCTGCTAGCGAACCTATTATTAGCTGACCCCAGTCCTGGGGTTCCAAGAGCCAAACCCGGCATGAAAACCACCTCGGTACTGTATTTTCTCTCATTAAAATGGCCTCTGTTGTCTCGGAGGATGTGTTCACTCGGCGGAAGCTGGGACTAGTCTGCACAGAGTCTGCATGACAGGGTGGGGGCGTAACGCAGATTCAGCACTATTGGCTACTGCAACTGCGTTAACCTTTGTGTTTTAACAGGAAACACGTACATATCAGGAAGCAAATAGTACTCCGGTTTCCGTTTCATGGGAACTTTAAACTGAAATCGACATACATCCATCAGTTACAGAGCAACATTATCATTCATTTGGAGTCGTGTGTCTGGTCTCCTGGAAAATGTAAGTCTAATATTCACCCTTCTTTAGGTCTGTTTTAGTTATCTAGTTGCTAACTGTGCATGTCATTTGGTGCTGAGCAGGTTGTATACAGTGTTTTTTTTTACAGTTAAGTAAAGTTGCAGGCCAGAAAACCAAAACAATTTGCTGAAAGACACAATAAACCATCATAGAGCTGAGGGGAACTTCAGACTCATGTGATAATTCTAATTTTAATTGTTGGTTTGTCCCCATCAGCGTTTCACTTTCACATAAGTAGTCATGTGATCCATTGTTAATATAGAGAATATTGGCTATAGCCACATTAATCACTTTAGGGACCACTGTAGAATATCGCAATGAGAATCAGAAAACACATGCATTAGTTGCTTTTTGATTGTTTATTTTGTTTGTTTTTTGTTTTTTGGGGGAGGCCAGTGACAGTTGAATTACAAAATTATAGAATACACAAACAAGACACAACAATCCATTACCTGTAGATTTTTAATGTGATTATGGGACAGTCCTAGTATTTAAAACATTTATGCAAACTTTGTTTTGTTTTCAACCCATTTATCTAAATGACTGAGTCTGTGGGTGGGAGATGGGTGTGGGTGAGGTCTGCCACAATGTATTTGTTGGTACTGCCAATAGAGGGAGCTGAAGTCAGATTTGTTTGGTCCCTGACCTTGAGATACTCAGCTTCAGTTCCACTGGACCCTAGTTTTTGAAGCCCAGTATCTTTAAAGACAGGTGGGTTGTAAGGAAGTGTTTCAATGAGGACAGGGGCTACAGGACTTAAATAGTTCATGATCCAACAGGAGCTTGCGTCAGCACAGCTCAGGGAATTAATGTCACAGTCCTTGATGTTCAACCTTAACCCTCGCTCAAGTCTTACCACACACAATTTCCTATGGGGACCTAATTCTGTCAAGAACGACTAAACTGAACCCATCCAATCAGGTTATTGTATGCCAGCTTCTAATGTGACAGCTTACAGATGTAACAGCCGAGATTTGCTACAGAATAATGGATAAGATTAAATGAGTAAATGACCCAATTCATTATTTACTTAATTTACTTAAATACAGTGATAGATGTTGCTGTAGCCTGCATGACCTAATTAGCATAGCTAAATTAGGTCATATTGTTTAATTTTTTTGCATTAAAATACTGTTTAAATATTGTCTTTTCATTCATTGTCTTTTATTGATTGAACTTGAATGAAGTACATGATGCGGCCACTCATAATCTGGGTTCTGACCATAGCTAGATGGTGTACATATGAACATAGAAAAATACTTTATTTAGTTCAACACTTTGACCAAGTTGGTAGAAAAATATAGTATTAAAATATAAATTTACTGTGGGTTTGAATATTACATTTTATTGCATACATACCTAATCAAGGACATAAAGAGTAATTTAATATGCCTCTTTATGTGACTAGTATTTGCTGAGACGATGTGTCTTTCCACCTGAAAGAAGTAGCAGGCCTGCAACGACCACATGATATGGTAGGACATGTCTGCAAACAGAAGTAAACATACATACAAATGACAAATAAAACACTTTGACATTTGACTCTACAATGATGTAAATCCAGGCTATATGTACGCAATAAATGTTTTATATTAATTCAGAATTTCTACCACTTCCTTTAAAAATAGTGGTTTTAGCATGTACATTTGTGGTTTTGTTTGTCATAAAAAATCTTCAAGCTGTCAGGAGGAGGGAAAAACAGACAAAACCAGGAGTTGAATGCTTCAGTGTGCCACATGAGATACAGTAAATCTATTCAGTATATCTGTAACACATACATGTTTATATGCTCATATTTAAATATATAAAGGATGTGTACACACTGTATATTACACTAAGTAACCATATCATCCTCTGTATGTACACAGCTCTGTAACAGTGAACACTGTATACTCCATAGGACAGTATTGTTTTAATGGTATTGTGGTTTGCCCTGTTCTCAGGCTTGTATTATGCTGCCCTCTGGTGATTGTGACTCAAACCCTCGCCCCCATTTTATGACATGTATAAAGAAGCCATATTTACCATTTACATGATCATTTTCACAGGCAATCAGAAGACTGCGTTATAAATGTATTTACTGCATGTTAAATATATATATATTTTTTTTTACTATCTTAATTACATCGCATTTTCTCTGCAGAATATGCTGTCCAGAGTATTTAAGCTTTCGAAATATATGTACTGAAAGCTGAAAAATTCTGTTTAATACTGACAAATGCATTTTTAATTAAGAAAATGCTGCCATAATTTTATACAGAAAAAATATAACACACAAATAACATGACAGAAATGGCTGTCTGTAACACAGGGAAACAATGTAATGTTGTTTTTACTTTACCCATTCACAATTGTGAATTTTGTTTTCTTAATTTTTGCAACATTGCTCAAACTTGCATAATTTAATTCACTAAAAAGAAACTTACACAAATTAAAACCTCCCTTACTCAGCCTGTTTCTTATTTAAATTGTCTTACCAGTCTATAGTACATAATCCCTTCAAAACATTACTGTGGATTACAATGACTCGTGACTGGCCAGCCTGTAGTACTACTATCAGATAATGCTCATTCATCAATGTCTATTTATTCAAAGTAGAAATAAATTTGTGATAAATAAAATATTCCCCCATTACACAAATATAGAAGAGATGTTCAATTTAAAGTAACCTGACAATGTAAGGAGAACAAGAGGTGTCTTAGATGAAAGGAGCAAGCATTCATTTTTTATAGTGGAATTTTTATTCATACATTGATTATACATTTATAAATGTAATTTAATAAATATATACTGAATTAAATTAAAGGCAAATGGATATTTGTGAGAGCAAATTTGAGTTATCGGGGTAAACAAACAAACGTTTGTTACTTTAACAACTTATAATGTGCATCACACTAATTGTATCTGTTATACTTAATAGCATATTTTTTTCAAATGCATCTTTATCATTTTAAAACATTTATCACTTGTCAGACAAATATATAGCATGAGCCTACTTTGAGGGATCAAAATGTAGCCCCTTTTCAATTTGATCTGAGTTTATGTGATCCATTACTCACTTCTCTTTTTGCTTTCTCTTACTGAAACATATTTTTTAATTTCAGGGTGTTTAAATTAGGAACATGGCAAGAGATTTAATCAAAAACTTAAAATTTAGGAAGAAAAAAATGTTTGTCTATCATCCTCAAAGTAATGTCTTGTTTGGATCAATTTGGTGCAAAACTCTTGAAATGCAATAATGTCACAATTTAACCAAAAAGATGCACGGTAGATGTAAAACTGGATTTTGTGGCATACTGAAGATAACCTGTGCAACCCTACTAGGATTTGCATCACAAATAATGTACAAGCTATCAAGTAGCCATGAAAATTTTGTAATTTTTTGCATGCATTGCAGAAAGTGTTGCACTAAATGCACTGTGCATTCAATTCCTTGAATAACTACAGTAAGATATCTCCTACCTGCCCACCCTGCATTGACTGAAGGTAAAAAGCATTCATGCAGACCTGCTCCTCCTCTTGTATTGTTTATCCCCTACAGTCTCTCCTATCCAGTCTCCTCTCTTCAGTATGCAAGGCCGGAGGTGAAACCTAGTGCAGGAAGAGAGCACCTTTATATGTAATACCTGCAGCACTGTCAGCCAGGGACCCCGGCCAATGGGAAGAAAACATGTGCAAAGGACCATCTGCAATGGAAAAACAAATCCTGTAAAAGATTTTGTGGATTTTGCGGCACGAGGGAATGATGTCCAGCTGCCCCAAGTCTTAGTGACAGATGCTTTCTCCTTCTCGCTTGGATAACGCGCACGTTCCTCTGTATCCTCCAGTGGCCTTAAATACTCCAAACCTGGGTGCTCCTTTAACATCCACACATGCAATATTTTGACTTTCAGTAGACAGTGAATTATACTTTTTTCTATTATTAAATAATAATGTGTCTAATTTAGCAAGCTAAGGCATTGTTTACTCATGATGGGATATTCTGGCAATTATGGGAATACCTCATCTTCTCATATTAATGTATGTGAGTATAAACTTGCAGCAGATTAGGTAAATGTATATCTCAGGATTCCAAGCAATCACTAACTCCACCTAATGGCTTCTATTTATTAAGGAGAGTGAAAGATTTTGTAATAACATGCTTAGGCCACGTTTCACAAAAAAAGTGGTAAGCAGTGAAGCAAGATCTCATTTACAGCTCTCAGCTGTCATGTTCACTTGAACTGAATGTCATGGCCAAAAGCTTTTGCTCCGACTTACTGAATACATTACTTACCTTGTCTCTAATCCGTCTAGTGCTGTAATGAGCTTTGGAGGTAGACATCTGTAACTGTTGTTTCTGTCCCATTCACCTTTCCTTTCTAAGCTTCATTAAGACATGCATTTGGTCTTTCTCTAACAAAAGAATGGCATAGAAAACACAGCAATTAGTTCTTGGTCTCTAACTAAGGAAGCAATGCTAATGTTGCTGTTTGATTTTTGTTTGCGCATTAGGTTGAATTTGGCAACATCTTTGTTCAGCACTTTAAAGCTCCAGCAATGAATATTTATTAACAATAGATAAACTTAACAAGTGTAAAATGATAGGAGTGGCTCATAGTGACAAACCCACCGAGAATTATCACCAGACTCTGCACTTCAGCTCCACACACACTTTTAGTCTATTTTGGATTATTATTTTGGTTTTCTAGTGTTGCACCAATCTCCGTAACCTTCTTAGGAATTTTAGCCACATTGGCAGTGCACGTTTTTTTTTTATCAGACTTTATCACACACATGCTACCTCAACACTAGTTAGATAGCTTTGTTTGTGTGACCACTCAGATTCTGTGATACTAGAGTATTAAATTCATGAAAAAGACCAAAATGTTAATCAGATACTAACAGGTCTGGGGTTTCATGCTTTACAGACAGACTTGGCCAATCACCACTGTCACGTTGTTTGCAGCAGCAGCAGGTAGCCGTTTTCAGAGAAAAGGCTAAACCAACTGTACATCACCTGCCCAGCACAAAGAACAACAAGTTAGCAGCTAAGCCAGTTAACATAGTGGAGCATTTAGCAGCTAAAAAGACAAATATTTCTTTCAGTAGTTGGTGGAGACCAAAAAGAGCTCAAATGAGAGTGAGTATTGGAGCTGCATTTGTCAGTAGGACAGAAACATGACTTTAAATGAATGCTAATGTTGCCACAGGGCTGCTGAATGTGTAAATAGGCAACTGCTTGAAAATTTGTATTTTGTGCTTGTTCTGCTGACCCCAAGTGGCCGAAAAACAAGTAAATGCAGCTATAAGAAAGCCTACGTGTAAGACAACTCTCTACACATTATTGTTGAAGAAAATTTTAAGTATAAACTATTTTTTTTCACACTAAGGTTCTATGGTACTTTATATACATATATTTTCTTGAAAGTACTCTAATTTTTAATTTGTAAAAAAAACAGCAGTACTGAGTGCTCAAGATAGAAATGTTGTATTGTGTAAATTGTTTCAATGTATTTTCAAAAAGGATAACTTAAATTAATATATAGAAATGCCAAACATACATGTCTTTCACGATCCAATTAGACCATCTACATTGGGCTTACTGGATTTGCTGCTTCACCTTTAATCCCCTCCCATTGATAATCTCGAGAGAAGCCTGTGTTGGATTCTCTCTACAGTCAGATGAAGCATATGGCCCTAGCATCTGTGGGCCAGTTTACGTCCAAGAATTCCCTGCTTGGCTGCTACAGCAGCAGCTATATTAGGACTAAAGCCCACAACTTTCATTGACAAAATCTGATTTAACCATTGGCCGTATGTTCTCAATGGACTCCTGCCTTGGTTCAGGACTGCTCAGACTCAGCTTTCATTGTTACTTTAAAGTAAAGCTACTTCATGCCTATAGATTTGTTATTTTCTGATATACAGATGGGGGGACAAATTAAAGGAAGCACCTAAATAAAAGAGTGGACAAACATGTTCACATGCACCAGGGCTCACTGAATGGTTTGGTGAGTTTGAAAATTATGTAAATAAAATGCTACGGCCTTCACAGTCACCAGATCTCAAATCAGTTTCTCATCTATGGAAGATTTTGGACCAGCATGTAAGACAGTGCTCTCCACCACCAACTCCATTAGACCTGATGAACATTCTTCTTCAAATCTGTTTAGTGATGTCTGTGACATTATGCTATATAGTCTTTTGTTATGTCTGGCTGTGTTTGTTTTTCTTTCTATTTCATGTCTCTCTTGCAAAAGAGATCTTGAACGAGATTACCTGATTAAATAAAGGTTGTTTTATATGTGAGGGATATCTGGTGGAGGAATGGTGTCAATCCCTCCAGTAGAGTTCCACAGACTTGGCAAAGAACTGTTCTAGAGGCTCGAGGTGGCCGGACTCCATCCTTCATGTTTGTTTTTCCTTTAGTTTGTCACCCAGCTATGGAAGACCTGAGAGTCAAGTGAGGAAAAATTCTGATCTGAAATTCTGAGGAAAGATTCTGATTCTGTGATCTAAATTGTTTTCTCTCCTGTGTTTCTTAGAACAGGTGAATAAAAAGTTTCCAGGGTTGTTTTTTTTCATCTGTGAAATGATTTTGCCAGGAAAACCTGTGAAAAAAGGTGAAAAAAGTTTTGTGAGGTGAAAAAGTCACTTGAAAATTATCCTGTCAAAACTTTTCATGTGGCGAAAAAATTTGTTCCTCCACTTGTTTCACAGATCATTTCTTTTTAAGGAATTATCCTGGTAAAAACCTTTGTTCATCTGTTCTTAAGTCACAAGCACAAGAGAGTGCAATTTAGATCAGACTTAGAAAATGAATCAACAGATTTTTCCCCACTTGCCTCTCAGGGCTTCCATATTCAGCTGCATATAAGGAAACAAATTCTATCAGTAACAAAATCCCATCCTTTGTTTTTAAACAGTGCTGTTTGGCAGAATAGAGTTGACTGAAACTCACCTATGATTGTCGTTACTGTGGTCATTTAATCACAATAAATACATCAGGTTGAAAAATAATAAATAATTATAAGTAAAACATTTTTCTTTTTTTAGATATGCATCAGTTTTTTTACGAAAGAAATTGTTCCTATGAAAACTGCATGTTATGTTTTGAGGACCACAAATATAATTCCAGTTGCCATCATTGTGGGGTGATGGCAGACGTTCCAGAGGTGGATATCTCAAAATCTCACCACATAAGAACAAAACTATCTGCATAGCTAAGTACTACAGTTTTATTTTTTATTATAAGTTAATCATAAATACAATAATTCCAAATCTAGATATTTTTGCCTTTGTGAAGAACAATCTCTCTGCAAGCTGACAGAGTTGGCTGGAGAAACAACAAACATCTCATAGGAACACAGAAACGCCTACTGCAGATAAAGACTGCATGGTTAACATTATTTAATTTTCACAGCTGACTCACACTCTCTGTACCAGTGGCATCAGCTCAACACAAAGTAAGGCCACCAGATACCATCAGCATGCTGTATCTGTCTTGTAAACACCCTAAATACTTTAGAGTTGCAAATTGCAAATGGCAGATGCTACAATACTGGAACTTTTCAAGCTGCATTTTAACAACAGCATCATCCACAGTTGCCAAATACAGACAATCATGATGAATAACACAGACAGCGGTAACAACATTGGAGCTGGATCATGTCTTAAACCACATTCAACCCCAGTCTGGCAATAAACTTCCACATGAGTTTATGCTATTATACAATAGACAACATGTAACACATGTAGAATTATCATAAAGAGCCACTTTACCTTGGGATAAACATAAATGCAAACGATCCAGCCACAGACAGTTCATCTTTCAAGTGGTACAAAACATTTATGAGGGCAATAATTCATTGAGTTACTGGCCTGCTGTAAGAACAGTGGTGTTTGGCACATGCCATCATGTGGGACGGCGCTTCAGCAAACAGATATAAGCAATTTCAGAAAAATTGGCTGTTATTGATCTCTACTGCTGGCAAAGTGGCTGAGCCAACACCCAGGGGTCACATGCAGCCTACAGTGAAGTCACATTTTCCCTAATAAAAGCCAAAATCTAAACAGAAACACTTGGCGAAGAGGGACTGCACCATGGTGGAGACTGAGTGAACGGGTGCAAACTGACTAGGAGGGACATTAAGTTATAATGTGCAGGAACTTCAGGTTTGGAAATCTAGCATCAGCATCACAGTTTGTACGGCGAAAGAATGAGAAAGACAAAAACAACACATTTTTACTATGAAATAGATTTTTGACAAACATGTTGGACAAATATCTTTGTACAGGTGTTGTTTTTTTGCCTTTCTAACAGGTTAATCCAGCCATGCTTATTATATATATATATAGACAGGAACACAGATAGGAACAAAGCATGGTTGGATTAACCTGTTAGAGGGGCAAAAACTTCATACTGGGCCCCTACTGACCCCCCACCTACCATCCTCCTGTACATTGTGTGTGTTCACTGTTGCCTCCAAGTTATCATTAATTACAGTACACACAGCAGATTGCACATGGCACAGAGACTGGGAAAGTCTTAATTAATACTCCAATGCTGGAATAATGCAAACTGACCCCAGGTGTCAAATCACTCAAAATGACAATGCACTATGTATGACAACAATTTGGACAGGTGATAACACAGGGGTTAGAATGACACTGACACTGACTACAAGACATGCCCACAAGATTGGTTATTGCAAATGCAAGACCTGCTTCATCTGGTGTTACTTGGTGGTACAAATTTCAAATTAACTAAATTATTGACACTCAGAAGTTAAGGATCTGAAAGTCTGGGGCCCGGGGTTTCAGCCCATAGTCTCCTTGAATGGAAGGATAACTTTATTTTCACAAAGGGACTAACTATGGCTCTACAATGGTCGCATATATTTGATAGGAAATTGTTTGAAAATGAATGTTTTTTATTTTTCACAAATCCTTTTTCTTTTTAGTTTTGTTTGCACATACACTGCATGAATGCATGTTATCTGTATTAAACAGAAGGCACTGGTCCTTGTCCTGACCTGCAGACTGAAATCCAGTCCAGGTTTTGTGGTAGATTTTACTGGCAAGGCGCAGCAATCTGCAGCATCCCCACACGTAGCCAGCCACACACGCTGCCGAGAGGCTGCTATGAAGTTACACCATTAAAGTAAACAAAAACATTTATAGATAGATTATCCCAATTACTAGATAGGAACGCACTTTATATAGACACAGCCATGTCCATGCAAGTATTTGATAAACATATGCATGCTGCAATGTCTTTATATAACTAAACTAGATCGTTAACAATGTATTTTTATTTACTTACAAAGACAACAGGCGAGAAATTGAAAATGTATCTGCTTGGCAGAATGTTCTGTCGTGCATGTTAACTTTGAGGGGAAAACTTATGCAGCGTGCTCCTTTTTTAAGAAAAACAAAAAGTGAACTTCCTGTTTCGGGGTGGTCCACAGACTGTGGGGAAAGGGAGGGGGAAGGAAGGGAAGGGGTGCGCATTCCCACATTGGCTGTGCAGCCAACTCCACGGCGCTTTGCGGGACTCCATAGCCGAACATGGGGTTCAGTTTTGTCGCCGTTTACGTAAAGTGATTCTAGGGGGGGAAAGCCATGGAACAGCGCTTCTGAAACAGGATAAAGTGTGGCTTTCTGTGTAGAATTCAGTCATCTCCATCCGAGTGCGTCTGCCAGAAAGTAGAGAGACTGAGAAGGGAGGCTTTACTTGAAACGCAGACTTTCACAGTCCTTGGACACTCTGAGCTCTTCCAAGGACTCTGGGAATCAAGTCAAAAGTTTCATGCTGAATATTCCTGCATTAACCTGAGGTAAGTAGTGCTGATGAGTCATACTCGCTTTTTAAAATCACTGGCGACCAGTGATAAATTACACATTAACAAGTTTATTCGTGGTTGGAACGTTGTGTTTAATCATTCGGCACTATAATATTTACTTTCTACTTTCTGAAGTGGAAAGAAAAGCTGTTAGTGATGGGATAGAAAGTCCTCTTTTGGCTTTTTATGTTCAGTTGATTGTGCGTCACTTTTATGCTTTGGAAAATCAGAATTAATTAGGCTGGTTAACATTTCCTGTACACTTCAAATTTCAGTAATTGAGCTGCATAATATTTCTACTAACGGACCAAAATGTGCAATGCTTCAGTGACTGTGATAAACGTTTTTTTGTGGATTCATTCACTTGGTCCCTCCTCAGCGCAATGTAGCATTGTTCCTGTTTTTTTTTTTCTATTCACTACAGCAAATTAATGTTTGTTAAGACTTTAGACATAAGAAAATGTGTGCTTGACTACAAGCACAGTTTAAAGTCAACTGGCATAGCAGAGGGTCACAGGGCCACCCCCAGCACAGCTGTTTCTTGTAACCTTAAATACTTCAGGTGCCAATATCTTTTCCAAATGTGAGTATCTCACAGGACACCCACAAAACAACATCATCACTGAGTGCTGTGTTAGGCTTGAGGAGGCTTCAGTTACCTGCTTGTTTCCTGACATGTGCTGGCTGAATATTTCTTTCTTTCCTATGACAAAAAAACGCCAAAACCCTGCATTGAAGCCTTCCATAATCTATCTCTAATCTGAGACATATTATTGAAACTAATCTAATTATCTGTCTAAGAGGTGACTGTAGCTGTTAATGTGGGAAGATTAGACTGCTGGTCTTCATGTCGTGGCCATGGACTGAAGAGCGTCAACACTGGACTCAATAGAACAGCCAAACACTTATTTATTCCAAAGTGACAGTGAGAAGTGCTAAGCACACAAACTCACAACTTCCCAAAACAGTATTTGCACAGACACACTCACATACACATAGAGAGAGTATATTTGTAAAAGGGTCTTTAGTAGATCTCCAAAAACATGAGAAGGAAGGACAATGTTTTATTAGGAATAGTGAAATTGTAGATTTTTTACCAAATAAGTGTCATATTTATTTACTCCGGACAAGAGAGATGTTTTGTGATAACTTTTTAGTTTAAGTTAACTTCATAAGTTTCTGTTTGTTGAGAACAACTTTGCTTGAGCTGGTAAACAAGCGTGTAAGCACCTCAGACATTTTGTTTGATTACAGGAAAACAGTCCCAATGCAGCATGGGATTCATCTTTATGAATATAATCCATAGCTGAAAAGCACCTGGAACCACCTCAAGGTTGAGACGGGGGAGAGTTTAGAGGGAGGAAAGTGCACTTGTCCACTGGCCACGTGTGAAAAACTCTGCAGGGGAGCTTCCTCACCCTCCCTGGTCTTTATCAAGTGTGCTAAGGCCAAAAGGCTCCTTAATGGGAATGCTCCTAAACAAATAGACCATAAAGGAAGCAACTGCCGTCCTGTCCAGTCACAGGTCAGGGCTGATCTGGTATCTCACAAATGTATCAGAGCAGTGATAAGTCTCAATCAGGCTGAAGACAATTAAAGTTACTGGAATGAATTCCTTCTCTCATTAGGCCAGTATAAACAAAGGTAGATGGAGGATTTTAAAGTGGATTGAGCGATGAATCTCTGCTCATTTATGTAAGAAAAATTTAATGCAGAGGCAGTTTGAGC